GTTGCTAAAGAGTTACTTAACAGCAGTTTGGAGCTATGTAATGTTGTATTTCAAGTTCATTTCAGGTTTTCTAAAGTGAACATGAAAGTAAAGGCAGAGGTATTTCCAGATAATGATGTGTGCAACTACGCAAATATAACCTAGATATGTGCTACAGTTACGCTCATACACTGATAATTTTCACAACAGGAGGTCTGTTGATTGCCCTTGACATGAAAAATATCTTAAATCTCAAGTGCAGCCTTCTTCTCCTTTAAAATGTTGTAGCTGTATGTTATGTTGTCAGCTTAATACAATGGATTACTTTTGATGAAAGTAGCCTTGAAATATTGTAATATCAATGATTTTTTTTAAAATTTATTCAATAGTGAATCATTTTCTGGGCTTGCTTTATTTACACATTGGAAGCACCCTGGAAAAGTGCCACTGTAATAAAAGATGGGGGAACACACAAAATGGAGTGGTTGGTATTTTAAAACACCTAGGTCAGACTGTGAAAGCCTAGACAACAAGCCATGTAACTATATCAGGGAAATTATATTCTTAGCTTTTTAGATTTTTAACTTATGGTTAAGTGCACGTATCATATGCCACACTCAGAACTGTTCTTAAGTCCCATCTGTTTGATCCCTTTCTCCTGGTTTTACTGACAGCAAGGGCTATGCCTGGATTACATTTACTACTATGCAGAACTCACAATAAAACCTTGCAGGATATAAATATTTATCCAAACTGGACTTTCATTAAATTAGAAGTCAATCCTTCTGGTCCCATGACAGATTTTAAACACAGCTGAGAAACGCTCATGTAATTCTTTGATGAACGAAACATAAAAATTGAAAATTTATGAATAAATATGAGCAAGATCACCAAGCTTACTATTCACCAGAACAAGATGTATGCATTAAAAGCAGACTATCCTATGAAATCTGAAAAATCTGGGATTGTAACCACAATAGTGCACTTTGGATGCATATCTATAACCTGCTGTAATTTGGCCATCTGGAAATGACGCTTTGCTTACTGTGTATTTGTGAGTCTGTTCTTTCCCTCTCCATTGTTAAAAAACTTATTTAGGCTTTATACTGCTTGCTTCATGAAGAAGGAGGACAGGAGCACAGCATGAAAGGAGTATCTCACCCAATATACTCAAGTCTTTAAAGAGCACATTAGAGTTCACTGCCAATGCAAAGACCTCCTGTGCATACACAATAGTCTTAATGGCTTCTTTGAGAGGACAAGTTTTAAAAGTGTAATCCTCTTCTCCCCTCAAAAGTTTTAGCCAATCATTCATCCAGTGTCTTCAAGTCCTAAATGGCTAACAAAAAGAAAATTTAGGGACTAAAAAGAAAAAGTAAAAAACATTCACACACACACACACAAAACCAAAACCAACAAACCAAACACAAAAAACCACAAACTAAATCCAAACAAACAAAAAACACCAAATAAAAAAATACAAAGGCAAACTCAAAAAAATCCCAGAGTGACTTGAGACTGGGTCTTTGAAATAAACTTGTACAGAAAAAAACCAAACAGTTTTTTTTAAAGCCTGTATTATGTAATACCCAGTTAAATGCTGATGTATCAGTGTTGACTGTGTACTTGATTTGTCTTGTGTAAATTACAAATACAGGCACTCTCACCATTCAGTTTAAATTCTCAAGGTGGCAACAATGAAAAAATTTCAGCATATGGAGAAGCTAAATATGAAGTTCCCTTACTGTTGACCTACCCTATCCTTAAAACAAGCTCATATTAAATCATTCACAAAAATAAATACTGAAGTCACACCTTCGAAATAGCACAAACAACATCCAGTGTATCTTATCTGTTACCTAACCACGCAGGAGAACTCTTGCCAGTTCACATCCCAGGCAATTTTGCACAAAGAGACAGTGAGTAAAATGTACAAGTTTGAATAAAAATCGAGTAAGAGAATTTGAAACTATAACCACTTTTATTTTTCCCCCTCAAGTTGTCAATTAGGTTTAAAAAAAAATAAATCCCATGACTTCAGGACACCACCTCTGTAGGTGGATAAGAATGGAAGACTCACAATCAGGACTCCCTCCAGCCTCCTCATTTACTGTATTCCCAGTGGTCTCCTGCAACACGGCCTCCCCCTTGCCCTTTGCCAAGGGTGCACGTCACCCCAACTCTCCACAGCTACAGGTTCAAAGTAGATAAGGCACATATCTCACAGAACAGAAACCAGTCACAGAGACAGTGCTCTCCAGCATCCCATAGCCAATGCCATCACTGACAGCTGGACATCGACACGTGTTCATCTCCTCCTATTTTCAAACAATATCTTGATGAATTCTGTAAACTCTGAAAGGTGCCTGAGCTGCAGTTTAGTCTCTTTGCATTGACAGTATGGTTCAGGAGGATACAGAAGAGGCCTGGGATATAACTCCAGTATTTATTAATTCCTATCAAATCCCTCCTTTTTTCTTTTCCCCTTTATCATTAGCACAGTTATCCTTAAACATGTACACATAACAAGAAGGACTGCACAACCCCCTAAGCATATCATCCTCTAACACTTTTTAAACCTGACAAAGTGGGATGAAAAGTTTTTTGCTCCATCAAGGTCTTCTATCTGCAGCTGTTCCACATGGCAAATTCCCATTTCAGTAAATTGGTGCTCTGTTCCCAGAACAGATGCAAAATCAAACTCACAATGAGAATATACAATGCAGCTTGATTCTGAGAACAAAGTATCATTTTGTCTTCATAATTCTGCATTCAAATGATTCTTTTAATTGCCATGGGAATTCCATAACCCTAGTAAAATTTTTCTTTTTTACTAGTTAGAGGACAAATACAGTGCATCAATATTGTATTTTTCTATATGTGTACATTCTAGCTGTTATTTCTGAGCACTGTTACAGGCTACAGATAGAAAAATACCTGCATCACACTCACTACTACAGTCCTGACAGAGAGACATAGTCTGTTACCAAGGTAGAGATACAGCCTTTGTAGGTCAAATTTAAAGGTTTTTCTTCATTAATGACATACATACCAGTACAAAAGTGATTCTAAACAAGCTGCTGCTTTTAGTGTTGAAGGTCCTTACAGCATTAAACAAAGCAATATAACTAATCACCTTTTAAATTTTAAAATGCATCTTCTTTAGCCATATGAATTTTATTGCCTTATACATGTCTTCTTATGTTGCACAGTTCAAAGCACCCACTGAAACAAGCAGATGTTTAATTCCCAGAGAATGTGCCAATGCCAGAAACCTGTACAAGCAATGCAAATCTGTCACACACGGAAGCAAGAGATCCCCAAATGATACTGGTACTTCCCTATGGAAGGATAACATAGGAGAAGGTGATGAAAAAACTTCACTCTGCTGTAAAGAACGAGAAGTCAACATTCTGGCTTGCTTAGTTAAGGGGAAAAGCTTGGATGGAAAAGCTTCTAACCATTAGTCAGACTGCACTATCAGAATCACAAGAATTTGGCAAAGGCAGGCAACGGGAAAGATCCTGAAAGTCAACCAAACAATCAAACAAAAAAAGAAAGCAGCTCTCTTATGAAATACACTTTTGCAGATATCTATAAAATGTAATCTATACAGTTTACAAAACCAATCTGTTTAGCTACTAAATTTACCAGCCTAATTAGAAATTCTCATATATATCCATTTTCTCTGCTGTTAATTTGAATCATTTTTGTCCAGTTCGAATATTCTGACAACGAAAAACACTGAAATATTTGAGTGATCTAATTCCCTTAACAGCTTGTAAAAAGGACTGAAAACCATACCTGCTAAAAAAAAAACAAACCACCTGTGAAGTTTTATGACGGAAGTAGAAAGAGACATCAATTTTCCATAATAAATTACTTGTATTTAATTTAGGCATGCCATAAAAAAACATAAAATAAAGAAGGGAAATGAATGCTCACTGAAACATATTCAACTGAATGGGAAACATTACTAGCATAGTATTAAAAATGGAAATCTCAGGAATATTCTTCTGATGATAAGCAGACTTTCACAAATCTTTAAATCCATAAATTTCCACTGTCAAACCAGGCACATATGATTTTGTGACTTCCTTCCTACTTTTAGTGGAATTTAGCAGCTCAAGGCCCAAATCCTTCAGGAAAGTTCCCTCTGAGTGTCTTAGATGCTTTTTATTATTTATGTTGAGAGTTTTCCATAGATTTAGACATTCAGTTTAGAATTCAGCATATGAGAATCTTCAATTCACCTTCTGTATGCCATACATAATATTTTAGGAGTAAATTAAAACATCAAAAGTACAGGTTTTCATTTTGGATTACTGCTATTTAAAAGAATACTTGAATAATTCAGGGTTTTTTATATTATCACCTTTAGGAAGATGTTACAGTATTCCTTCTGTATCTCACTCCCTTTTATTGGCCACCACAGCTATAATAATTATATTGAGTGATGTGGTTTTCTTTTCTGATATTCTTTTAAATACATTCAAGATGTCCATACCTAACAACAGAAGTTCAGGAGTATAAACCTGTAGAACTGCTATATGGCTATTACAGTCCATTTTCTCTTTCAGTAACTAAACTGAAGAAACCCTTATTCCTAACAACACTAGCCCTTCCTCTCTCTCAATGAATGGTGGCTGCAGCTATTATCAAAGCTCTACTTACAGTACCCAAAATAAAGGGATGCTTCTGGTACGCAGAGGAACAGAAGACTTTTACATGTAAAAAAATGAAAATGAAACATTAATCCTTACATGTTTATATCATTAAAAAATACAATACTGAAGATTTTTCTTATCTATGAAAAAGTGAAAATGTTGCTTCTTTTATTTCTGTATTTCTATTTATAAATATTACAGACTACTAAAAACTCATCAACTGTGAGGGATGCAGCCAAACCAGGGACGAATTCCATTGCTTCCTAACATTCTCCATCTGAACGCTTAATTTTTCCTAATGCTTTGTCCCTTGGACAGAAAACTCTTTTTGCAACTTCTTGCCAAATGACTTACCGGCAGTGTTTATGTGATCCTGTTAAGGTTTCAATCACAAAGCATTCCCCTTCATTGAGACAATATGCAAGATCCTTGTCCTTGCATGGCTTAAAGTGCTCAGATCGCTCAGTGGAATACGTTGTGGTATCTGGGGAGAAAACAAAAAAAGGAAAGAAATGCTGTGAGGCTAAATATTGGATATTCTTAGAGCACGTTACATAAATTTGATCAAATTGGTCTCGGTAACATCAACTGACAGACTAATCAACAGAAAGCAAAAGCACAAGGCATGCAAACCCCAATGCGACTGCAATAATATTTACAGTCAGGTTTCTTAAACGATTCACAAGAGGATGCTTATATTTATAAATATATGCAGAAAAACAAACTAGACTGCCACAAAGCTGGAGTATAATTTCAGCCACTTCCAATTTCCAAAGTATCCCTTCTAAAATGTAAAGACGCCTACTTAGTATCCTTTAATCAGATCAATATTTTCATATGAATACACTCAGATATGGTTTTAAGTAAGATACAAAATTTTTTCATGAAAAATGAGCCACAGTATTTAATAGAGCATCAATCTAAGAAACCCTCATAAAGCCCACCAATAAAATGAAAGGAAAAAAAAAAAAGAAAAAAAAGCCAAGTACTCAAGGTCAATGCTAATTTGATTCACCAGTCACAAAACCTGGCCTAAAACTTAACACAAGCAATGTACCACAGATTGTGTGATTTCAGGTACATCATCTGTAGGTTTCTATAGGTCCATCCAAACACCCCCACACAGCTAAAAGGCTTGACTACAGGTTGAACTTTTGGCTGTACCTTTGGATATAGATAGAAAATTAGATTTGGAATAGGCTGACAGCATGTCCGGATGAGCTATCATTCTTGTCTTCTAATAAACCTCTTTAACCTTTCCAATCCATTTGGATTAATCAACAATAAAGTGAAATTTTCAGAGGAAGATGTCTGACTGACAGATATTTTAATTTTTCTTCACTAAGACAAGGTTTTTTTCTAATGAAGAGTGATTTTTCAGAGTAGATGGTGATTTCCACAGAGCCATGGTTCAATCTTCATATTCAGTCTTAATTGAAAAAGTTTAAATTCCTGATCACTTTGCGGGATCTAACATATACTGAAATAGCAAGAGAACATTCCCTTGTATACCATACAGACTACCACAGAGTATTTTGCTGTCTTCTGTCAAAGGAATGAAGCAGTGCCCAGTGGACAGGGAACCTTGCAAACTCAGAACTATACAAGCACACTAACTTGCTTTTTGCTCATAATTCAATAAGAAGGCAATATCCACCAAGGTAACATCAAAGCTGAAAACCAAAACACTGAACCACAAGACACCTGTAACTATGGTTCTGCAAGAAAAATTCAGATAACTCCAAAAATATTTCAAAGTAACTTTTTTCGTTCTTAGTGTATTTTAAATAAAACAGTGCTACGATTTTTTCTTGTGTCCAGACTAAGTGTCAGAAGATTAATATAATACATTTGCAAAGAATAAGAAAATCTCCACCCTGATCTTTGTATACAATACCTTTTTTTTTTCCCTCTCCAGAGAGAAAATACTGTAGTTCACAGTTTTCAGGGGAGAGAAAAAAAATCCTGGAAATAAACTCCTTTCAAATGTTTTCACAGATTCCAAATGAAAGGCCATGTCATTTTCCCCCATGCCAGCACTCACAAAAAGTTGCAGACTAAACAGAAACTACTCTTTCTAATTCTTGCAAGCAAACCCTGAACTGAAATGTATCAAATTGAATTTTTGAGACTATACAAGATATTTGTAAATGCAAACAGTTACCAGCATCTCACTGTTAATGTTTCAAGAATGATCAGGTTTTATGTAAAAAAAATATCTTGACACAGAGAAAAGGTAGCCCAGTTCCTTTTTAAGGTCAGTTTTAAACAGGAGCACTTAAATGACCATTTAAAACTTGATTAGGGAAAAAAAACCTCAATATAAACTTGAATAATCAGTTATATTTCTATCCATTTTAAATAAGGAAAACTGAGGATGTTATTTGAAAGTACTTCTGATAATTACAAAGGGTAACTAAAACTGTTTGATGAGCAAAAACTCAGCTTGATCCAGCTTTAAATAACAGAACACTTGTATTTCTCAGCTTGCTCTGAAGAAACAATCTGTGCAAATACCTTTCTGAAGGCAGCTACAGTACACAGACCAAAGCAATCTGAGGTGTCCCCAAAGGACAAGAGTGAAACAAGGGAGACAGGCAGCATCACAAAGCATGTCTTTGAGTTAGTGAGGTACTGAATTCTCATAGCACAGTGTTTGAAGTGAAGGATATTCCTCTTCTCTCATAATTAAATACCTTGTCAAGGTCAGCATTTTAAAGTTTTAGATTAAATATATTCTTTAGAAGTTTTGTTCTGCTTTATTTTAATTACTTCTCTGTTCAATATTAATCAACCCTTCTGTTTTATTTATAAACAGGCATAAGTTGTGACACTTCATTTTCTCCAACTGGACATGATCTCAAGCTTTTCTTTTTTTGTTTTGGGTTCTGTCTTTCATCTTTCAAATTAAGCACAACCATTGTATGTAATGATGCTGGTGGCTTCTTATGAAAGAATATAAGGACTGCACTCCTTATGTTGAAAAGTACATAAATTTTTTTCAGGTTTCTTTTTGGTTTTGTTTTGCGCAGTTTGGGGGGTTTTTTTGTTTGTTTTGGGGTTTTTTTGGGGGGGGTTGTTGGTTTGTTTTGTTTTGTTTTTTACATCAAATATAGTCTTTTTATAGGCCAATTTTTAGTTACATCTAACCATGTTGATGCATATGTACACTATGCACAGCTGACCTGTACACAGGCCTCTGGTCTGCAGAGATCAGAGCTCCAGAGGTCATTCACAACATTCAGAAGCTGTGTTACTAATTGATATCCTAGATGTACCTGTTCGGTACTTTCTGCTGGATATACTCACGTGTAGGATATGTGAGTTTTCTGAAAAGTTACAATATTGCTGTTATTTCATGTTGCATTCATGATAAACGAACTCTGTTACAGCTTCATTAAATAATGATAAAAACAAAATCTAAAAGCTTGTTCTAAATAGTATGGAAATAACAAAACAACAGAAAATATTACAGTTTCCCTGATTCTTTTTGTAATAAATAATAAATCTTATTGTCTCTTTTTTTTTTTTACTCTTAAACAAATACTGAATTGACTTTTCCACAGTGGAATAGTCCTTCACAGCTTCAGAAACACGGTAAATCAACATCATTCTATTGTGATGTTTTTAGTTTAGTTTTGGTTGTTTTTTGTTTTTTTTTTTAAGAATTGATAAAATCTAGGCATTCACAAATTTACTAGTACAGCTCCTTAATTTATTTTAGTCTTTGAACATGGATAACAGACTCAAATGTTTATAGGTAACAAAAGGGAACTTCTGTTAAGCATGTCCTTGAATTCAGCATGTATAACGTAATGCCTTTTTTTGTTTTGTTTCATGCAAAAGCAGCAGGGCCTATTGATTTCTGCCAGGATCTTTCCAATTAAATTGGAATAAAGAAATTCTAGGCACTCTTGCTCTATTTTTTTTTTTTTTGCCTTACTATAGCAGCAGAGGTTTATGCATGATTCCCATACTTCAGAAAAGGATATACCATTGCCAGCTCTCAGATACCACTGTTTAATCAAATGAACAAGAATTCAGCTCATGTTTCAAGGGAAGGCTTCAAGATCTTTAATGTATAAACATGGAGTTGGTTTGAAAAAATGCAGTCTTTGGGAATGTTGCATAAAAATCAGCAGGAAGTTTACTGATGCTATTTTACTTTTGTATAGCACTAAAACTTGGTCTAAAAAAAAAGTGTTAGTGAATTTGTATTCTTGTCTCATTCAGATATTTCATTATATTTACACCAGCGCAGGATGGCTCTTTATAGTTAATTTATTGAATTATCTTCAAGGCATGATATGGTTACTAGAAATACTATCTGCTCCATCAAGGCTAGAAGTTTCATTGTTTCCAGTACTACGCTCTGATATTGATAAACCTGTAACTACTGAGGAAAAATGCAGGAAAAGAGAGAATGCAAGATTTAAAATATCCTGGGAAACAGTGGCGTTCGTAGCAGCTGTTTCTGCACAGACTGCAGCAGCAGCCATTCCCATCCATCACATCTGTCCCGCAGCATTCTGACTTTACCAACAGATTTTTCTGGTTACATCTCAAACAAAACACCTTTAAATGGTACCTACACTACATGGCCCTCACTGGAAACATTTTTTCCAGACAGACAGCATTATCTGCTGCAGGAAAACTGAGGGAAAATGTCCCAGGAGATCAAGAGACAAAAAGATTAAGTTTAACTTTTCTGAAGTCACTACTGAACAGGTATCCAAATTTTGTAACTACATAGGAGCATTCATTTATTAACACCACCATGGTAAATACTTGGTGCATTGCCGCAGAGAAATATGAAGATGTTTATGAATATGTTTAATGCCAGAGCTCGAAATATGAATAGTTTAATGTCAGAGCTTGAACACTCAAAGACTTTTTAAAAATACTGCATATTTTGACTAGCATTGGGTATTACCAGCTCTACAGACTCAGTATCGACCCGCAAACTCGCTTTTCCTTTATCTTTTTATCTGTTTATAATGCATCATTTCTCAGAGAACCACTGCTTACTGAGGCATCAAAAAAGTGAGATGCTTATTTTAAAACCTCGATCCCATTTTTAAATGAACTGCAAATAAGTGAGCAAGTTAAAAACAACTCAACTTCCTCTGACAATGCAAATCCAGTCACTAAAAAAAATACCTTCTCAAAAAACCTCAACATTTTTTATAATGTATTCTTTTATCACTACTGCATTCTATAAAGGCAACAGCAAAGGTCCGTTAATAGCACACAGGGAGCTAAGTTTTATGTTCAATGAAGTCAATGGCAAAATATTTATGATGACTCGGTATAACCAGGGTATAACCAGGGTTCCCTGAAGTTCTTGCTGCTCCTCTCCTGATATTTCAGAATTATGTGGTAGCCTTACTAGAAAGGGTCTTGTAGAAAACTGAAACTTCCACACAGAATAGTTTATATATTGCATATTTACTCACACTACAGTGAACCCTGAAAAACATAAAA